TTAATTGGTTTTTGGGAATTTCATCATGATAGGCATTGGTTTATATTTCATTAGACTTCTGTTTGTGATCTAAAGACCTTTTCAGATTTGTAAGTCTTTTTGACAGACTTATGAAGATTTCAACTTTAATTTGAATTTATTTTCAGGCATGGATTTGTTTTCTTTTCATGAGATTCCAATAATATGATTGTTTAATCTTTTGTGATAGACCCACAGTTCCATGAAGCTTCACATATATTTCATTCTATTTTACCCTTTTTGTTCATATTGCATGTATTCTCTTTTCCTTGCATCAGATTCACTGAATTCTATCATCTGTCACCTGTTTAACATTGAGTTCATCCAGTGAGATTTTTGGCATTTAATTTTTCAATTCTTACAATTTCCATCTTGTTATTTTATAGCATAACTTATGTTTCTTTGCTGAGATGTTCCAATTTTTCTTCTGTTTCAAGAAATTTTATAATTGGGTGCTTTAGAACCCTTATCAGATAATTTCAAAACCTGATTTATCTAACTCTTGCTGTTAGTTGATTATTTTTCCAATTCTTTTTCTTTTCCTGATTCCTATTATGATAGGTAATGTTTAAGTGTTTGTTTACTAAGTATTTTGTCAGTTATGGTAGAAGACAGAATCAAAGTCTCACTGAAATCTTTTATTTTAGCAGTCATCTATTTAGGCTTAATATATATGGCTTGGTCTACTTATGTTGTTGACAATTATGAAGACAATTCAATTTTAGGCCTATTGTTGCATGATTTTTGGTTTGTGAGGTTTATAGGATGTACCTGGGGCTCCTCCTACTCTCTGAAGACACTGCCTGCATTTGGAGTTAGCTACTCTCTTGAGTCATCTAAGTGAGAGTAAGGAAATCTCTTAGTGGTAGGGAAGAAAACTTTTCAGACTGTACTACTTGTTATATTACAGCACCACATTTTCCTGTATCATACTCATCTGTATCTAAGTGGCAATCTTAGACTCCCAGAACAAAGAGACTTCTTGGGCTACCAGAACTGCTGTGGTAAGATTGCTCTTGCTGGTGTCACCTGAAACTTAGTATCTCTGGTTGTGAGTGTGGAGTCTTAGGGCCACAGGAGAGAGGTTACCCAAGCTACCCAGTTTTTTGTGATAAAAACCCTATGCCTGAAGTTTACTTATTTATGAAATAGCGATGACAATTTGATCTTAAAATATTTTATGGAGAATAAGCAAATATGTAATTCCATGAATGTCAGAGAGTTTTGTCTGTTTCAATCATTAGTCACAATTTCCAGGATAGCATTTCCAGAATAGTACATGCTAGTTGTTTAACATATAATTTCCTAAGTCCATCAATACTATGAAGAGTAGTGCAAAAAAAATCAATCAGTCAGTTTATTCTCTTAATAAATGACTAAAGCTTAATGAAGATTTAGTTCTTCAGACACCAGTGCTTTGGACATTTTTAAAATCTGCTTTCCCTAAAAACAGTACTTAATATTCTTAATGTACTTAATTTACATCGTTAAAATTTTTTTCTGTAAAAGCAGTACTTAACGTTCTCTGAGAACTTACTATGTGATAGGCACAATGACAGGTGCTGTGTGTGTGTGTGTGTGTGTGTGTGTGAGTGTGTGTAAAATTTTAAACTCATATATAGTCTGTATATATGCGCATTTATTTAAAGCTTATTAATTTTATTTAGTTTAAAATCTTTGGAGATTGCTTTAATTTGAATTTAATTTTGTTTTATATTTATTGTAAAATATTTATATAATCCTAAATCGAAATGTATGAAATACAATAAATTATGTACATGAAGCACTCATTTATTTTCTTATTCCAGTCAACATCTTTCTTTCTTTTTTTTCAGATAATTCTCCTCCTCTCTGCTCTGTTCTGTTTTGTTTTTCATTTTACTTTGATGACATATCAGTGTACTGTTTGTTTTTGTAATGCAAGCAGAACTCTGTGTGCGTGTGTGTGTGTGTGTGTGTGTGTGTGTGTGTGTGTGTACTTGGACCAAATCCCTGCTTTTTGAATAAAAAGTTAGAACATTTCATTTTTTTAACTTAACAATATATCTAGAAAATCTATATGCTATATTAATTCACTGATAGTCCTCATTCCTTTTTACAACTGCAAAACATTTCCTTATGTATGTTACATACTTTATTCAGGGTCTTCTCTAGTGACACTGGGTTACTCCTAGTCTTTTCCTATTATAAGTGGTATTGCACTGAGTAGCCACATGCATGAATTTTTTGTAGTTCTGACATTGTATCTGTGCAATAGATCACTAAATACAAGATTATTAGGTCAAAAAGCGATTGTATAATTTTGTTCAATCATTTTTGTATGGGTTTGTGGCCTGCTTCCCCTCAGCATTATCAACATAGCAAGTTGTCAGACTTGTGCAGTTTGGTCAATCTGATGGCCAAAAAATGGTACTTTATTATTTTTTTTCTTCTTATTTTCCTTATTACAAGTGAAGCTGATTAGCCTTCAACTGTTTAAGAACAATTTATGACTTTCATGAATTCTATGTTTGCCTTCTCCAGAGTTGTTGCTGTTTTTGAGTTTTTCAGTTCCACATATTAGGGATATACATTTTAGCTTGTGATGTAAGATATATGTATTTTCTTTATTTGATATTTTCTGACTTTGTTGCAAAATCTTTTGTCATATGAAATTTTCCTTAAATTTTTATGTAATTACCATTTTTTATCTTTACCTTACAGAATCTAGACTTCTAGGTTACAGTTAGGCAGATTTCTCTATTCCAGATTAATGAAAAATTCACCTACACTTGTTTTAATAATTATGAGGGGTTTTTTTTGTATACTTAAATGTCTATTTTACCTGAAATTTATTCTTATTTTGTCAAGTGAAGAAATACATCAAATTACATTATTTTTCTCTTAGTTGTTCAGTAATTTAACACACCTATTTAAAATGTCATCAGGGATTTAGTTCAGTAGCATAAATGCCTGCCTGGTAACTTTGAGGTCATAAATTCAATCCCTAGTACAGAAAAAAAAATGTCTAGCTTTTCCCTATTGGGATACTTTCTTTGTTTATTAGGTCAGATCCTATAATATGAGTTAAAATTATTTACAATTTGATTCACAAGAAAATTCAGGTCTAGTGTCTTCTCTGAAGTAACATTGCTGGTTAATGGAAGAGGTGGGCATTAAATCAGATCTTGCAGACACTAGGCCAGGGCTTATCATCATCACACTATATTTCCTATTACTTTGATCCTGAGCCCAATTTGTAAAGCAGACACAGCTGCTATCACCATTCTCATGTTCCACATCACACTATATTTCCTATTACTTTGATCCTGAGCCCACTTTGTAAAGCAGACACAGCAGCTATCACCATTCTCATGTTCCACATAAGCTAGCAGAGGTTCCAAGAAACCTTTTTCTTCCTAATGAATTATATTATAAGTAAAATGATAATCCATGTCATGTTCTCCTGGAATACAACAGAGATGGGGTTATTGTGAACAGGGCTATAAGACTGAATAAGTCAAGAATGAGCAAATAAAAGAATAGGAGGGCAGGAGAGTTTAGATGCTGGCTGGTGCTCATTTTTATTACAACCTTGGGAAAATGTAACTTGTATAACATTAATTTAGGTAATGCCAACCACTATAGCAAAGAGATATTAAAATTTTACAATGTACCAGATTATGTGAGTGTATTTCTAACTCCAACAATATTGGGGAGTGGGAGGATATTTCTCTGTCATTGAGAGACTCATGCTTATGGAGGCTCCACCATTTACCTAATAGCCTTTTCAAAATGCAGATCATGTGTCTTATAATTCATCTATTTAAACTATTATTCACTTTTAATTTTGGTAAAATACACAAGATAAAGTATGTGATTTAACCATTTTAAGTATATAATACATTGCCATTAATCACATGCACAGTGTTGTGCAAACATCGCTAGGTTCTATTTCCAAGAAATTTTCATGTTCCGAAAGAGAAAATCTGTACCCTCTAATCAACCAAAAATTAACGCTGTGTCAGTCAGGAACCAGGCCTTGCTTCTATGGAGCTTAGGCTATCAGAATTGGAAGAATCTTTACAGACCACCTAATAAAATCTCCACAAGTGTTAGGTGAAAACCTATGTGGATGGAAGATACCCGTTAGCGTGTCACCTGAGTTGATACCAGTGTTAAAACAAGAGCAAGCTAGATCATTTATCTCTCACCTTTATCACTGACATTCATTCCATTTTTGCCATGACCTAAAGTGAAAAATCATCTTAATCTCAAACTGATACATACATAGCTATATTTTATTTTTAGCTGTAAAAATGTTATATAACAAAGGTGAGTAGTAATTATAGTGATTTGTCAGGTATATACTGCTCCTCACCTTCTGGTAAACTGTAAAATTATATTTTTTAGATTCATTGAAGGTTTATACCTTTTGTAGAATGATTACTTTGGCCTAGTACCTAAGAGCAAACTAATGGGTCATTTAGGATTGGGGAGATTTTAAGAGCCAGTGTGCAGAGTTCACAACGCTCTCTTTACTTTGATACTCCTATCATGGCAGTACAAAGATGAAACCTGTGCATTTTTGATACCCAGTAAAGATGATACAGGGTAGAACTTAGAAAATACCTGGTAAGTGTTATGAGGAAATATTTTTTTCTTCTCTTAAGGTATAAAGATTTTGGGATTAATTTTTGCCATAGCATAACCTAGCCTATGGTGATATAAATGCTTTATTTCATGTTGTGCACTATAATACTTGATAACTTTATTTTATTTTGATCTATTTCAATCTTCAGTTCTTGGTGCAACTTTTTTTTTATTTAAAGAAAGACAAACAAAATAGAAAATGGGCAGAAATAGTACATGATTTTATGACCTAATAATAGGCCTTCTATTTGCAATTTAAAAATACTACTCTATATGCTATCACTTGTCCCTTGGGTGGTCCTTTCTGTAAACTTCTGTAGAGAACATTAATGACTCCCATCTCTCTGCAGGATTGTGGCTATGGAGAGGATCAAGATGCATACTGTATAGTCTGTCCTCCCCAGAGGTACAAAAGCAACTGGGGCCACCATAGATGTCAGACTTCCATCACATTTGCTGTTATGAATTGTGCCCAGAAGACCAACTCCACAGGTATCTCTAATGCGATCTGTTTAGACTGTCTTCCCAGGTGAGCCCATTATTTTTAGTCAAACTTCTCTATACCATTTCAGTTTAGTTCTTTGATGCCTCTATCTGTATCTTTTATAACTTAGTCAAATTATTCTAATCTCTGAATCTTTTCCATTTGGGCTCCTAGAGGGGAGAAATAGTGTATTCTCAAGATCACTCATTAAAGTGTCCAGGACATTGTTGGCCAGAGATGAATACTTAACAGCTTTTTCATCATGCTGGCACTTGGAGCCTAAGCCAAGTTTTTAAAAATTTATTTAAAGAGAAAAAATAAAACTAAACAAAGCAAAACAATAAAAGGCTAGAAGTAATACAGAATTTCAAGAGAAAAAAATATACAGTAAGAATTCACCAGTTAATAGATCACACATTGTCATCTTAGAAACAGTTATTAAGGTAAATTTCATTATATAGGCATAGAATAAATTACAAAGCAGTTGAGATCAAAGCACCTCTCTTATGTCCTGTAAAATTGGCTACCTTTTGCCTATAATGTGTGGTGAATGAAGAAAGAGAATGTCTGAGGTTTTGAGTTAGAATTAAACATGAAGGTAGAAAGCTTATCAGGAGAAGTAGGCTCAGGCTTCTAGGAGGGAAAGTTATTTGAAGCTACCTATGATTTTAGGAAGGACTGATATGAGTGCAATGCTTGTTTCATCATTGTTCCATTCCTTATTGTTCTAACCACAGGTTCTACCAAAAAACTCCACTTCTGGGGTACAGTGTGTGTATCTACTTCTATTTTCTCCCTTCTTCCAAAGCCCATAGTGTGACAGCAAGGCAGGGTAAGAAAAGGCACATGTAGAGGAGATGAGTACTCCATTAATCTTCATTCTATGGAATATTATGGCACAAGAATGAGTTAGAGTTGAATTCTGGTTTTACAATGTAATCACTATATAACCCTCTACTAATCATTCAAACAAACTGAGCCACATTTTCCTTATATGAAAACATATGACTCATGATAAATCATTTTTCTTAATACATTATGCATGGTTGTCTAGATCTAATGAAATAATATTAAAAACAACCAATTATAATGTACACTTATGAATGAATTATGTACCCTTATGAATGAATTATTGTCATTTTGCTTTACAAGGTATAAAGAAATTCCTAGGTCTTATGAGCCCTAAAATGCTGAACAAAGTTGTATAGTACACTGGCATTAATCACATAAACAGTGTTGTGCAAACATAACCATTTTCTATTTCCAAGATATTTTCATGTCCTCAAAGGAATATCTGTACCCATTAAACAACAAAACACTATGACTGGTATCAGGCCTTGTCCCATTAAGTTTAGGCTATCAGAGATGGAGGAGTCTTTACAGACCACCTATTAAAATCTCCACAAGTAACCAGCCGTGGTGGTACACACTGGAATCCCAGCAATTGGAAGGCAAAGGTTTGAGTTTAGCCTGGGCTACGTTGTGAGTTCAAGACAAGCCTGAACTACACAGTGACACCTTGTGTAAAAAATCATAAAAAAAACCAAAAATCTCCTGATATTTGGAGATATAATCCCCTAAAAGCCTATGTGGATGGAAGATACTTGTCAGAATGTTACTGAGCTGATATCAAAGTTGAAACAAGAACAAGCTAGATCTCTCATCTATGTCACTGGCATCCAAATCTTTTTTAATATGATCTAGAGCAAAAACCCCATAATTTTTAATCACAGCTTCACATATAATTAGCTATATTCTACCTGAAAAAAATGTAGTGAAGCAGAGGTCAGTAGTAATTATAGTATTACAGTATTGTCAGTATGTACAGTTCCTCACCTTCTGGTACACTATAAAATTACACTATGATCATGTGAGCCCAACATAATGAGACAAATTTTTCTACACCATTTATTTTAGCTGTTTGATGCCTTTATCATTCTTACTTCTCATAACCTAATCAAACTATTCTAACTATCTGTGGCATATACTATTTATGATCCTAGAGGGGAGAAACAATGTATTTTCAAGATTCGTCTATAAAGTGGCCTGGGGATATTGTCAAACACAGATTAATATTTAACAGCTCTTTCATCATTCTGACACTCAGAATTCAAGTCCAGTATATGCCTACATCACTATCCTTTTATTTGAATTTTTTGTCTACCACTTATCTTTTTTTTTTTTTTTTTGTCTTTTTGTCTTTTTGTCTTTTTGTCTTTTTCCTTTTTATCGGTACCAGGAATCAAACTCACGGCTGCCTGTTTACAAGACAGGCGCTTATGCCGCTGAGCTAAATCCCCAGCCCCTTACCACTTATCTTCTTTATTCTTTATAAATTATTGTTTTTTGTCTTGAAGTGAGAAAATATTTGACATGTAAATATTTTAAAGTGTACAGAAAATTAGAAGTTAAAATGCTCAATTTTTAAGATACAAAGATAATAACATTTTATATTTATATAAATCATAACATTTTATATTTTTATTTTAGATCTTCTTAAAGAACAAAGATTCCACAAGTTAAATAACATTTCATTTCCTTCTCTGAATCATGTTTTCTCCCTACCCACACAGTCACATATCTTTCCTGAAATCGTATGCATCCTCTTGACAGTAATAAATAAAACTTCAAATCACAGCGAGTCAGTACAGTGAGAGTCAACTATTGTAAGGTATTTTTCCGTTGTGTGACTATGCCTTTTAGACTGTGTAGATTACAGACCAATGGCACAGGAGAAGTGTTAGAGGAGAAATACTGGTTTTAAATTGCCATATTGTAGAAGTGTCACACATTGTTAACATATACATTGTATTGGCCAGAAGACTTTTATAAAAAGGATGTAATGATAATGAAGAGAGACAAGTGGCTAATTGTTGAGCAGTATGTCTCTACCATACTGTCCCCTAATTTTTAATACTGCTACTATTTTGTCATATACGTATATTTCTGAGAAATGTTATTATTTTGCATATTGAAATGTTTATAATAAATTGTATAATATAAATAGTTTAACATAAATTATATCAAGTTATATGTTATTTTCAGCTTCAATATTTTTTATTACTTCATATTTGCAGTACATAATTACATTGCTTATGGGAACTTGTACATGTGCATAACACTTCTTAATTCTCCTATGACCTCCTTTCCCTCCCTTGTACCCTACATTTATCTGTGGGTTGCCTTTTTTTTGTAAAAGAGCTACCTCACTTCCTATTATGTATCTTTTATTATGCCCTTTACTGATATTTTGTGTTTCCCATATATAAGAAACCTGGCAATATTTAAACTTGTGTGCCTGATTTATTTAATTCAAAATTATGATGTTGAGACTTCCAGGAGAACATGGCAGACAGATAGCAGCAGCTACAAAGGCTCTCTGAGAGACCCAGCTTAGAATCCAAGAATGGTGCAGAGTGAGGAATCCTAAGAAAGAGGAGATATACCCTGCTGACCCAAGAACGAACTGGGCTGAGAGAAACCAAATGGGAATGCAATCCTGGTGCTATAACAGGAACAGATAAAGCCTCAGCGTGGAAGCTGGAGCCCGCATCATTGGAAGCCGTGATTTGGGTTTCCTGTCACCGCTGCAGCGTCTGAATTGGCTTGGCAGGGAGAGAGACGTGTGAAAGCTCTGAGAATGGGAATCGGTGAACGGAGTTGAGAGTGGGACGGGCGAGGAGCCATGCATCGACCTGCAGTGAGTGAGGGAAACTGAGACTCTTCCACGATCTAGGAGGCTCCAACAGAGGACATTCTGGGACAAGGCAGACTTGCCGGAACAGGGCGCTGTAGTGACTTCAGTCACACATCCCCCTATCAAGCAGGATTGATGAGCAGTGCCTAGCCTACATGACACTGCTGGCTGAGACCCAGTAGGCTAGCACAACCCAGGTCCCAGTGCCTGGAGGTGCACCCTAGCAGTGAAGCCTTCGGTAGGTTGATCTGGAGGGGTGGGCCCTGCATAGGCTGCCTGGTCTGTAACTCCCTGGTGCACTGCAGTGGGCAGGAACACCTAGCCGGTGCAATTAAAACAGACTGTGGCTGACAGGGAAGGAAGCTGGGCCTCCTGTATATGCTTGTATATAAGGAACAAAGAACATGGGAAGAGGGAGGAATAGAAAGGCTCCTTGTCCCCCAATCCTGAGGAACAGGCAATAGCAGACATGGCACCAATAGACATAAAGCACTACCTCCAGAGCCTCATAGACAAGTTCAGGAATGAAGTTATTAATGACCTGAAGCAAGACATAATCAGAATAGTTAGAGAATTGCTAAGCACCACCCAAGAAAAAACAGATGGTGGAATGAAAGAACAGAAAAAAAGGGGGGAATTGTTTGATGGAGAAAATAGAGAAAACATAGAATACGTGAAGCAGGTTCAAAGAGATTACCAAGAAACTAAAAACTCTATCAAAAACTGGCATAACAGCTTGAAAGAAAATAAAGATAGATTATCTGAACTGGAGGACAGATTTGTAATATGGGAGCATGAAATGAAAAACTTCTTAAAAATAACAAAGAAACAAACAGCAATAATACAAAGACTAGAAGATGATAAGAGGATCTATAACTTAAGAATTAAGAACATAAAAGAAGAGGTAGGAACACAAACAAATGAACTACAAAAGCTACTCACAGAAATAATCCAGGAGAATTTTCCTAATTTAGCAAAAGGTAAAGATACTCAGATGTATGAAGTATACAGGACCCCAGCCACCTACAACCCAAACAGAGCTACACCCAGACATATAACAATCAAAATACCAGAAATCCAATATAAGAACAGAATATTAAAAGCCATCAGAGACAAGAAACAGATCACTTACAAGGGAATACCCAACAGAATTAAAGCAGACTTCTTGGCACAAACCATCAAATCACGAAGAGCATGGGGGGAAATAATTCAAGCTTTGAAAGATAATAACCTCCAGCCAAGATTGATATATCCTGCAGTGAGTGAGGGAAAATACACATTGTGTATTATGTCCACCCTTTTGATTTGACCGACTCTGTTCTGTTATGTCACATTTGTTTTTACTCTCTTCCAAAAAAGTAATAAGAACCATGGGAGTAATAAAACCCAAAATGTGTAATAGTCATTGTACAAAAGAGAGGAAAAGAAAATGCTCTAAACAATATAACTGCATGTATATTTAAGTGTATAAGATAGACAATGATATTACTGAGTTTTGTTGGATCATTGAACAGAACTGTTTGCAGTCTCACTGCACTATCCCTGGAAATTGATGGAAAAACAAGGTGCTTCCAGGATAAAGAGGAACTAGGGGAATATGCAACCACCAATTCAACTCTACAGAGAATACTGCAGGATATTGTAAAAAAGAAAATTACAAAGATTCCAGAAACAGTGGCAGAGAGGCCACAATTAATGGAGCAGAAAACAAAATGAAGAAGACAAACTGACAACCAATGACAGAAAAAGAGCTCAACAGAAATGAGGCAGAGAAGATTGGATGTTAGGAACAACTATTTTGGAGAAACTGACGTCATAATAGGTAACACTGATTTAATATCATCTTGCTTTGAAGTCTCATCAAGTTTTGTTCTTCTGTCTCCACAGGTCTTAACATGTTGTATCTTATTGGATTTTATTATATGTGATAGTATAAACAAAAACTTTTACAGACAAGGAGATTATACAGAAACCATTGTTCATTTTCTATTAGTTGATTCTAAATACCGTGTAATACTGTCATTCTCTTGAATGGTTTTACATTGTTTTGATATATTTGATGCTACAGTATACGAAGTTATACTCAAAGGTTTCAAGGGAAGAGACAATATGGTAACTACTTTTATGTCGGGATTATCTTGTGGTGAAACACTATTTTGCTTAAATGGTTATGTTCTGATCTGTGCTGTTTTGTTATGCCCTCTTTATCTCAATCTCCATTTTATTATTTACTTTTTATATTTTTATCCTTTTAATAAGGGAAAAATAAATAAAAAATAGCAAGATATATTATAGTAACCCCCTTTGATTTTCTATTAACTTGATTTGAAACCCTGTATTGCTCTCACCATCTTGTTTTGACTGATGTTCCTCTATTCTGTTTTGCTTGATAGTACCAGGTTCGAAAGTTTAGGCAACAGCTGTGAAGATAGTGGGATTCATTATGATGGCCATTCTGGTTGACTATTATCTACTTTTGAAGACCTGTAATGTTTACCATGTTTTGCTTTTGTTGGTTTCATTCTTTACTGTTTTGTTCAATTTTATTATAACTGATGATATAGGTAATTCTATTTGAGATAGCAGGAGGCATTATGGTAACCATTGTTGATCACCTTGTATTATGTTTTTACATTGTGTATTATGTCCACCCTTTTGATTTGACTGACTCTGTTCTGTTATGTCACATTTGTTTTTACTCTCTTCCAAAAAAGTAATAAGAACCATGGGAGTAATAAAACCCAAAATGTGTAATAGTCATTGTACAAAAGAGAGGAAAAGAAAGTGCTCTAAACAATATAACTGCATGTATATTTAAGTGTATAAGATAGACAATGATATTACTGAGTTTTGTTGGATCATTGAACAGAACTGTTTGCAGTCTCACTGTTTGAATGTCCACTTTATGTGCTTTAATTTTGTAACTTGAACAGATATTTCTAAGATGACAATATGTAATGCAGTAACTAGTGATTTCCTACTGTTTATTTTTTTCTGAAATTCTGTATAACTTGTACCCTTTTTCTGCTTTTTTTGTCTTTTTCTCCTTAAATAAAATAAAAAAACAAAATTATGATGTCAAAGTGAATCACTTCTCCTAACAAATAAATTTATTATTCCTTATGACAAAATAGTACTCCATTGAGTATTAATAGTATATTTTCTTTTTTATTAATGAAGTTTATTGATACATTGTACATAAAAATAATGATCACATGCAACATAGGGAATTTTACCTATAGATGATATGACTTGAATTTTTTTCTATTTCCCTACCTTCCCTTCTATTCATCTTCCCTTCCTTATTTAGAAAAGCTCTGTTTCTGTTTTTGCCTTCTTGTCTCATTTTCCCCATCTTTTCTTGCCCCCTCACCCCTCCCTAACTCCCATTTCCATTTGAATATTTTCTTCCTATTTCATAATATATTTTGGTCCTCATCTCCACTTTTGATTTCGCACACCAGAGAAACAATGTGGTATTTACACATGTGTATTAGATTCATTACATTTAACAGTATGATCTCAAGTTGCCACGCATTAGATAAACATGTCTCAAGCTTATCCTTCTTGATGGCAGAGTAGTCCTACATAGTATAAAAAAACTCCACATCATCTTTATCCATTCACTTGTTGATGAGCATTTAGATTGTTCCCAGGATTTAGTTCTTACAAACAAATATTGCTATAAACATGGGTGTGCATATATTATGTGGTAGGAAACTTTTAATTCTTTCTTGAAGAAATCAAGTAGGGGAATAATTGAGCTGAATAGAACCTTTAGTCCCAGTTTTTGAGGAATATTCACATTGATTTCTAATGTTGAATGGCTCCCTTTTCCTCACAGATCTGCCAGAATTTGTTATTGGTTGATTGATTGATAATAGCCATTTTTTCTGGGGTGAGATGGAATATCAGGGTTGTTTTAATTTGCACCTTTAAATGAACAATGATGTTGAATATATTTTCAAATATTTATTTGCCATTTCTACTTCTTCACCTCAGGTGCTTTTTTTTAAATTGGGTCTTTAAATTTGGGTGATCTTATTATTTTGAATTCTTTCCATATTCTAAATAGTCCTTTGTCTGAAGAACAGTTGACAAAAAAGTTTTCCCACACTCTCTGTTGTCTCTTCAATCTTTTGGTGGCTTATGTTGCTGCGAAAAATTTTTAGGTAAGATGCCATCCCAGTTTTTGATTATTTGTGAAACTTGCTGTGCATTCAGTGTTTTCTTCGTAAAGTCTCTGCCTACCCCAATGTCTTCAAGAGTCCTACCTATTCTGTCTTCCAGCAGGATTAGTGTTTCTCTTTTAATATTTAAATTTTTGATACAGTTTTATTTCAGTTTAGTGTATGGTGAAAGATATAGGTCTAGTTTTAATCTTCCACATGTAGAGAGACAGTTTTTCCAGTGCCATTGAATAAAGAAGCTATCTTTCTTCCAGTGAAGGTGCTTAGCTCCTTTTTCAAAGATGAGGTGGCTTAATACATACGGAGTTGTTACTGCCTCTTCTATTCTGTTCCAATGATCCTTAAATCTGTTGTATGATTTTTGGCTTGGTTCTTTTTTTTTTTTTTTTTTCTCTTATTAGTTAGCTAGATTTTAATCGCAGTAGCTTTGTAGTATAATTTTAAATCCCGGATTGTGATGACGCCTGCCTTGTTTTTGTTGCCCAGAATTGTCCTCAGTATTGTAGTTCTTTTCTGATTTCAGATGAATTTTAGAAAATCTTTCTCTAATTCTGAGAGATATGCTGTTGGGCTTTTGACTGGGATTACATTAAATGTATATAACAACTTTGGGAGTATTACCTTTTCCACTATATTGGATCTTCCTACCCAAACATATGGGATATATCTCCATTTTCTGGCATCCTCTTCAATCTCCTTTTTCAGAGTACTGCAATTTTCAGTGTAATGACATTTTTACTTTCTTCATTAGATCAATTCCTAAGTGTTTCAGGTGGTGTTTTGGTTGCTATTTTAAAAGGTGTTGTTTCCCCAATTTCTCCCTCATTGAGTTTGTTATTTTATCTAAGAAGGCAATTTGATTTTTGAATGTTGAATCTGTATCCAGGTATGCCACTGAATTTAGCTAAAAATATTTTGGTGGAGTTTTAGGGTCTCCTATATGTAGTATCATGTCATCTACAAATAATAATTTAACTTTTTCCTTTTTATCCTTATTCCTTTTATTTCTTTTTCTTGTCAAATTGTTGTGGATAATGTTTCCAAAATTATATTGAGTAAGAATGGTGACTGTGGACCTTCTTGTCTTGCTCCTGATTTTAGAGTGAAAGCTTTTAATTTTATTTCCATTTAGTATGATGTCAGTTGTTGGTTTGTCATAGATACCTTTTATTAGATTGAAACAAAGACCTTGTATTCCAGTTTTCTTTAGGTTATTTTTTAGTCATGAATGGATGTTGAACTTTGTCAAATGTTTTTTTTTTTTTTTCCTCTAGTAGGATGATCACATGGCTTTTGTATTTGGTTCTATTAATACAGTGTGTTACACTGATTTATTCATATATGTTGAACCATACCTGCATTCTAAGGATATATCCTACTTGTTCATGTTGTATGATCATCTACATGATTTGGTGTATTCTGTTTGTCAGTATCTTCTTGAGGACTTTAGCATCTATGTTCATTACGGGAAATGGTCTACATTTCTCTTTCTTGCTTAAATCCTTCTCCAGTTCTGGTATCAGAGTAATGATTGTTTCCAGGAATGAATTTGGGAGTACTGGTTCCTTTCAGTTTCATTAACGAGTCTGAGAAGTAGTCATATTTGGTCTTCTCTAAATTTCTTAAAGAATTCAGCAGTGAACACACCAGTGCCTGAACTTTTCTTGGTTGGTAGAGTTTTAATAACAATTTCAATTTCATTGACTGATATTTATTTCAAATATTTATATTTTCTTGGTTCAACTTTGGTATTTCATGTGTATCTAGAACACTGTCAAATTTCTTCTGCATTTTCCATTTTATGAGAATGTAAATTCTTGAATTAACTATAGATGATTTTCTGATTTTCTGCAGTATTTGTTGTGATTTTGTGATTTCATCCTTAATTTCATGAAATTGAGTCTTTTCCTTCTTTTTTGATAAAATTCTGTTCAGATTTCTCAATTTTTTCCAACTCTATTTAATTCTTCAAAAAAAACACTTCAATTCATTGATATTTCCTCAGTGTCCATTATCTTATTTTTTCTCTGATCTTTATATTTTATTCCCTCATATGAGCTTTAGCCTTGACTTTCTCTTCCTTAACTAGAAGCTTTATGTAGAATATTAAGTTTTTTTTTTAGTTTGCTCTGTTTTCCTGATATGAATATGCACCATTAAAGTTTATTTTGTAGGCTTGCTTTAATTTTGTCCCATCAGAGCCAGTATGTTGTATTGGCATTAACATTTAATTGTAGAAACTGTTTAATTTCTTCATTAATTTCATCTGTGACCCTTTGGGTATTATTTACTTTCCATGTGTTTAAGAAATTCTTGTTGTTTCTTTTGCCATTGATCTCCAAATTTATTGCCCTATGGTCTGAAAGCATGCATGAGATAATTTCAGTTCATATGCATTTACTTAAGACTGTTCTATGAGTCATACCACACACATTCTGATGGACACATAGGCCACTTCAGATACTTAGCTATTATGAATTGTGCTGCTATGAACTTGGGTATCCATTTTTCTCCCCTTGTGAATTTTTTATATTAATGATATGTTATTTACTTTAAATACTGTATAGTAATATATCTTAGGGTTTTATTAGAATTAATTTATCCTGTGCTTATTTATCACTAGATATGTCACGACCATAGAATACATGAATCTTTAGTGAAACTAATATGCATCATGCTTGCAGTATGTGTGAGTACTTCTGCTTGTTCTTTGTTATTTTTACTACTCCCCAAAGAAGTAAAACCAGCATGTCAGTAATAACTGGGGAAGGCCTGAGGTAGAGAGTCATGACCTAAGGAAATCCAGGCCAAGCGTCAGTGTGACTGTTGACTGCCCACACTATCTAACCTCTCCTAATTTTTTGTTCCACAGGTGCCTTTCAGCTGAGCTTAATGAAGGCGGATGTACCCACAGTGCTCCCAAAACAGGCCACACTTGTCACACTCATGAACAGTCTTCTGGTGACATTTGCCCTGACCTCTGTGGTGCTCTTCTTCCTCTACTGCAAGCAGTTCTTCAATAGAAATTGCCAGCATAGAAAGGGTGGCTGCTTCGCATTTCACATGAATCAGAAGTAAGGTTCTTATTGGCAGAAGAGAGGAACGTTGAGGAGCTAAGAGTTAATGGGCCTTACTTTTACCATACTGAAAAAACCCAGGGGTAGTTATTTCCAGTTTTGGACTGTGGAATTATCTGAGATGGCAATACAAAGCAAAGGGACTTAAAAATGACATGAAATAACATTGAAAGTTTTAGGGACATATTTCATTAGATTCCAAGACATCACATAGGAGCACTATGTATAACTTCATGGGAAAGAAATCAGAAGACCCAGAGTCTAAATCAATATCTAACTGATAATGCAACTTTGGAGAAGTTACCTTATTTTTATTCCAGACAGAAATCACTGTCATGTGTTTTCAACACAACATCATCTATTAGCCAAGTATTTCATGGGGGGAAATATGGATGAAATTAAATGGTGACCATTCTGGAACAAAGAAGAAGTTACTTCAGCCAAGAGTAGTATGCTTCAGTGTAATTTCAGTACCATTAAGGGAAATGAGGTCTACACAAGGATACTCAAACATGAACACAGACTAGTACATACTTGAGTTAGTAAGAGGGCTGATACATTTTATAAGATTTAAGGAAGGGCAGCAGTCTTCTTCAGTTTACTGGATCCTGGGCCCAAAGAAACTACATTTTATTTAAAAGCCTTACTCTATTTATATGAAAATGTCCCTCTTAAATAGAGCTACTTGGTCGGCTTTCCTTTCAATCCTGTCAGTCCATCTTGAAAAAATCTAGCAGATGTATTTAGCTGTATGTGTTCTTTGCCTAAAAAGAGGTAAATGTAGCATTTCATAGCCCATAGTGTTTCCCTTTGTCTTTTTAAAAATTATATTTATTGTTACATTTTAGATATACATAATCATGTTCATCATAGGGAATTTGTACCTGTACATGATGTACTGTGATTTCTCTTTTTTCCTAATCTCCTCTCCTCCCTTGAACTCATCTTCTCATCCCTATTTGCAAAGCATTGTTCCCAATTTATTCTTTTTATTTGATTGTTGTTTTCCTTTTCTCTTCCTTTCTTTCCTTCATTCCCCAGGCTAGTTCTTCTTTCCTTTTGAACAATTTATACCCATTTCACAATCTCTACTGTACACTTTGGTCCTTATTTACTCTTTCAGTTCCACATACTACAGAGACAATTTGATATTTACATACATGAGTCCAATTTATGGCAACCTATGTTTATAGGAACACAATTTGTACTAGCTGAAACTTGGAAACAATCCAAATCTCTGTCAACTGAGAAATGGAAAAAGAAGGTTTTTTTAGTATTATGGAGTACTGCTCTGCCATAAACATAAATTTCAGGCATTTCTAGGACGCAACATGAGATCATACTCATAAGTGAAATAAATCAAACTCACATATGTTAACATCATTTTGTCTCTCTGATATGAGAAACCAAAAGAAAAAATAAATTCCCTTTGTCTCTTTATGACTCTTCTCTACTTCAGTCTTCTCTATTTTTTGGTCACTCTTGGGACATGATGACTCAGGTTGGACTATCCTGTCTTTACACAAGATGCCCATATCTCAAATAAGAGTTGCTTTGCAAGTCCTGAGTATGGGCATAAAATATATGCAATGAAGTATTTGGGCTCTAGGGTTTGGCAAGATGATTAAAAGGGACTACATGTGTATCAACTGTCTTCTTTTACTTCCCTAGTAGGGAAGAGATGAATATCATTCTTCTGTTCCCATTTTATTCTCAAGATAATAATGTACCTCATTGGAATATGAGGGAAAACAGCTTCCTTACAAGCTCCATAAGGGGAAGGAAGGTTAGCTTTTTCTTAGTTCAGATAAGACTTTATCAGGAGTGACTGTCTTACAAACATGCTACCACTGTGTAAGTGCGGATACTAGGTGAATCAGATCCACCATGAGGTGTAAGAGAAAGCTGTAGAGACTGTGGCAAAACAGAACTGAATCCCCTATTGAAAAAGGAATGTACTACTCAATTCTAGCTGTGTGTTACCAATTTGAAATGTTCAACATTCCAAAACTTCCCAAACTTTCAAAAGTAACCATCATACCCAGCAACCTCCAAGGGCTAGGAGGGGCCTGAACTCAGTCTTGGGAACTGAACGTGTGTGGATTGAATCCAAGCACATGAAGAAGCTTTACAACATTGTTCCCACCTTGTAATACAAGGCACAGTGTCCTAAATCTCGAGAGGATGCAAGGGAGATCCCCACAGGCCTAACTGAGCAACACCCAGTGACATTCAAGTGGATATCTGTGGCCTGAATTCAGTCCCAGGAGCCAAAAGTGTTCAAGTTGAACATCAACACATGGAAAAGCTTTGAAAATTCATTCCAAGTCAGTGAGACCATAGCCAGCATCCCAAATAATCAGAGGTTCAAGGGAGGTCCCCACAGGACTAACTGGGCCATGCCCAGTGACCTCCAAGCAGTTAGCAGTTACCTACAGTCTGCCCAGGAGCCAAAGGTGGGCCAGTTGATTACCAGCACTAAGGGTAAGCTTTGGAACTTCACTGAAAACACAGACATATAGGAAAATGACAAAATGAAGGAGAAAAATGCAATCTCAAAATTCAAGCCCTACTCAAGCAAGACTAGGAGACATGGACATAAAAGAAAATGTAAACTTTACACCTGAAATTCCTGAAATGATAGCAACTGAAGTAAGGAAACAACACTGGGAAGCTATAAAAAACTCAGATAAGAAATAATCTCCCAGGTAAAAGAAGAAATGTTAAATGTAATGAAAGAAATACTAAATGCATCTAAAGAAGGCATAGTTCAAATATTATAGGAACAATGCAAAAAGATGCAAAACCTCAATAAACAATATAAGAAACAAACAGAATGCATGAAGCAGATTCAAACAGATATACAAGAAATCAAAAATTCCATCAAAAGTTGACAAAACCACCTCAATGAAAGTGAAGATAAAATTTCAGACCTCAAAGACAATATTGCAGCTAGTGAACAAGAAATAAAGATCTTTAAAAATAACAAGGAATCAGGTAATAACATTTCAAAAGCTTCAAGATGAGGCAAAGAATAATATAAGATTGATAAGCATAAATGAAAAAGAAGGTGACAACACAAATGATATCAAGACGCTATTTACAGAACTTCTGAAAATTTCCAAAACAGGAGAATGGAAACTGGCATAGAGATCAGTGAAGCATATAGAACTTCAAATTACGATAGTCAAAATAAAACTACACCTAGCCATATAATAATCAACATCCAAGAAATTCAGCATAAGAACTGAATATTAAACAAGGCCTCAATTCACCAATTAAAAGAAACAGACTGGCAGAATGGATAAAACAGACTGACAGAATCGATCAAGAAACAACAGTCAACCATACGGTATACAAGAATCTCATCTAACCCAAAAGGAAACTCATAGACTGAAAGTCAAAGGATGGAAAACAATACTTCGTGCAACAGCAACCCAAAAAATAAGCAGTGCAGCTATTCTGTTTGCAGAAAATATGAACTCCAAGCCAAGAATGATCCAAAGATATAAAGAAGACCACTACATACTAATTAGGGGAAAATGTCAAGAGAAGAAATAACGATCTTAAATATATATGCACCAAATTTGGGAGCACCTAGGCATACAAAACAAATATTAATAGAAATTATAAATCAAATAAGTAATAAAACAACTATAACAGCAGACATTAACATGACAGTGACACAAAGGGAAAGATTAACTAGACATAATTAGCAAAGAAATAACAAAACTGAATCACACCTGTGAACAAATAGACTTGGTGGACATATACAGAGTGTTCAACCCAACAACATCAGAATGCACATTCTTGTCAGTAGCACATGGAAGTTTCTCTAAAGTAGACCATATACTACCCCCACGGAACATGCTTAAGTAAATGCCCATGCATGTTATTGGATCACAGCACCATGAAACTAGAAATTAATGACAAAAGAAACTGAAAAAACAATATACACATGGAAATTGAATAATACACTCCTGAGCAATCAGTGGCTTTCAGAGGAAACAAAAGAATAAATTAAATATCTACAAGCAAACAAAAATGCAAATATATCTTACTAGAACCTGTGGGACTCAATGAAAACAGTTCTCAGTGGACAATTTATTCTGGTGAATTTCAACATAATGAAAACCAAATGAACACAAATAAACAGCCTGATGCTATGCCTCAAATATCTAGAAAAAGAAGAGCTAGTCAAGCTCAAAGCCAAAAGAAGGGAGGAAATTATAAAGGTCAGAGCAGAAATCAGTGCAATAGAGACTAAAAAAAAAACAATACAAAGCATCAAAGAATCAAAGAGTTTGTTATTTGAAAGAATAAATAAAATTATTAAACGCCAAGCCAACCTGATTTAAAAAAAGGAAAGAAAATAATCAATACATGCCACAAGGAATGAAAAGGGTGAAACTACTACAGACCCTGTGGAAATTAAGATCATTAACATCTTTTTCAAAAACCTCTACTCTCATAGGTTTGATAACAGAGAAGTAATCCACAGATTCCTAGAAACATATTAATTACCAAAACTGGGTAAAGATGTAAAACCACTGAATAACCCAATTTCAATTAATGAAATTGAAAATGTAATCAAATCCTTACCACCAAGGAAAAGCCCAGGTCCAGATGGATTCACTATGAAATTCTACAAGAAATTCAAAGAAGATTTAATGCTGACAGCCCTCAAAATCTTCAATGAAATTTAGAGGAAAGCAATTCTCCCTAACTCATTCCTGGAAGCAAATATTACTCTAACACCAAAACCTGAGATATATCCAACCAAAAAAGAGAACTACAGGCCAATTTTTCTAATTCACATAAATGCAAAAATTCTCAATAAAATATTGTTAAATAGAATGCAACAAATAATCAAGAAGATTATACATCATGAAAAAGTGGGATTCATGCCAGGAATGTAGTGATGGTTCAACAATAATAACCAGCTCTTGGAAACAACCTAAATGCCCATCAACAGAGGAATGTAGAGAAACATGAGCACATTGAGATATTTATAAGTAAATGGATACAATTTGAGACCATATTCATAAGTAAAATAAATCAAACTTACATGTGCAAATACCGTATAGTCTTCCTAGTATAAGTAATGATAAAACTACATAAGATACAAAGTACTCAACAAATAAAATGAAAGGGTAAGAATCTGCTTAAAGGGGAAAGATAATATCTCAGGAAAAAGGAGGAAAAACAAAAAGGAAGGAAAAAAGAAAAAAATATCTGAAATTGTATAAACACATATAGGATAGTTAAGATGATTGTGCTACAAATTCTATAAGGTCTAGGAACAAAAAGTTAGCATTCATAGGATTGGAAAAATTGTGCACATTATTGTATGATTATCTGAGGAACTCTTGAAAATTATTATGTAAAATAGCTACCCTAGTTATGCTCCTACAACCTTGTTTGGAATGCCTATATTGTCAGTGTTTTGGGCTCTTTGCTATTGTTATTTAATTTTTTGTTTCATGTTTTTTGAGGAAATTGTTGTATTTTGCTTTGTTTTGTTTTTCCCTCTAATACAGAAAGAGTAGTTATACATGTAGAGACTCATACATGCATAGAACTCATCCTAAACTGTTTATGAGAATTGACTAATGATAATGAAATGAATAGCTACTTTAAAGAAAAAGAGACACTATGGTATCCAGTGCTAATTTCATAGTGTCATGCTGTGAAATACAGCAATACTATTATTCTTTGTTCAGAGTGATTTTATTCTGTTTTGTATTGTTTAATTTCAACAAACACGAAATTATGAACAGCTATTTTGAAGAGAATGAGAGATATTATGGCAGCCATTATTGATTTCCCTATTGTCTGGTGTTGAAGGCCTATAGTGCCTTCATCAATCTGCTCTGATCAGTTTAATACTATTTCATTGCATATGAATTCATTGTGTGAATATATGGACAACTACTTAGAAGAAAACAAGAGACAATTGATAGCCAATGATGATCTCCTGTTGTCATGCTTTGAAATATTTGTTTTTTCTTCTGATCTGCTTTGTTCTTCTTTGTTGTGTTTAGTTTTACTCTCTTTAAAATAAAATAAAAAGCAAACATTCCAAAGTAGTCAAAAATCTAGATTTTTATAAGAATTCTACTAAATACTGGCAAATAATTTTAATATAGAGCAAAACCATAACCATAGTGGGTAAGTCAAATTCATATACATTCAATATTCTATCAGTTTCCAACCTGATTTTGAATCAGACTCATACATGGTTATATTATTTTTTATCTTTGCCATAAGTAATTGCCACATATTTAATAGCTTATTGTCTCACACTTTCCATAAATTTTCAGGATGTCACAAGACTGAGATATTGTAAATTCAATATTCCTTTCTTAGGCTTCTAAAGCAGAGTCTGTTTCCTTTATCATGCAAGCAGAAGGCTGAATTCATTTCCGTGCAGTTATTCCACTGAAGCCCTATTTTTTTGCTCACTATAAGCTGAAGGCCACTCTCAGCTTCTAAAAGCCATTCACATTCTTTTGCTAATGTCTCTCTTCTATTTTTAAAACCAACAATGATAAGTTGAATCCTTCTGGTGCCACATCTATCCAATACTCTCTCTTTGTCCTTTCTGACATTTTTCCTGCGTTTAAGGATGTGAAGTCTTACATTGGACCTATTTGAATAATCCAGTGCCCTCTCCATAATTTAAACTTGATGAATTAATTCTATCTGCAAAATCTAATTTGTCTTATAATGTAATATACACAGAAATAACACCTAGAGATGAAATCATGGCTGTATGATATTTCAAAATCTGTTTTCCACAAAATATTTGTTTTCTGAAGAAATTGATTTGTTTCCTTAATTCAGCAAAAGATAGACTCAGTCTGATACTACAGTTTAGGTGTGTTTCTTGCATGTCACATCAACCTTGACCTATGTGTTCTGGTTCCCAGAGTGGAAAAGAGTGATACTAGTTCCCAGACCCCTCCTTATTTGTGCCTAGGACAAGGTACCCTATTGAGAAAACACCATTGTTTGCATAATTCATTGGCTTTCTGCTTTGAGATACAGGATGTGCTTTGCAATTTGAGGCTGATGAGGCAGCAGAAGATTCTCTCTTCCCTGTTACTACCTGGCCAGGAGCCCAGTCCTGAGTACCCACTGAGTGAGAACATCTTTGAGAACAAACCACTTAATCCCACTCTGGATGATGAAGGGGCTCAATTCATGTCTTTCCCACACCCTCACAGGAATACTTTATCATGGCCTTCTGTGTCTTGGACAGCCACTCTCACTGGATACACACCCCCATTGAATGCATGGAGTTGGACTTACAGAAGTTTTCCAACTCTGCCACCTATCCTATAGGTAAGACCTTGGTGGGTCAGCTCAAAGCTGTGGAAACAAGATAGAGCTCAATGTGCTCTTTCAAGTTCTCAACTGTCAACTCTACTGAAATGAATTGGAAAGGTGGGACAGAAAATTCAGACATTAGAGAGCATCCTTAGGTAATTTCCCCCTGTAGTCTAGAAGGGCTTGAGTGAAAGAACAGCTGTACACAAGGAACAGTGATGGTTGGAGGAGCAACTGAGGCAACAGTAATACTTCAAGTCAGTCAAATACTGCATTTCTGGGTTAGATTAGACTGTCCTCAGTCACAATTTATGTATTACTTTAAATTATACTGCATTTATCTCATCTTCGTAACACTGTGCATTTTTGGTAAGCAAGTCAGGACATATTAGCCTCACTGTATGGAAATGGCAACAGTAGTTTACCACAAATCACAGAGTGATTCAATGGCAGAACTAGGCTAGAGCCAAGGTTTTAGGGCTTCATTCGAGAGCTCATCCAACTCCACCATTGCAGATAATCCATAGATTTTTGTTCTGAAAGCCTTAAATATGAGACAGTTAAATGTGTATATATATATGACTTATAAGTAATTAACTACTTTTCACACTACTCATTTCCATATTCCATGAGCTAAGATATTTCCACCTACCCCATAACTTCCCCTTATATCCTACCTGAGAAGATATGGACATTATACATTTAAAAGCCATGATTGATACTAAACTAGTCATCCTAAATACCTTCAAAACTTCAGTTTAATCTAAGCCAATTCTCCCTTTAAAGCCTTCAATCTATTCTTAGATATATTTTTATAATATACTTTGAATGCCATATATCTAAATTGTTTATACCAGAAGCATTTTTGATTTTTTTGTTATTGTGGAAGATTTGAATATACATAGTGCAGTATCTTTAGGAATGGACAAATATCTAAACCAGCATTCATATACATTTCATATAGACACAGTATGTAGGTGATTTTATAGTGTTTTAATATGCTTGCATATTGACTACAATCAATTATGTGAGATCAAGGTGCGCAAATTGTGTTGCTCAAAAAAGTTCCAAATTTGGAGCATTCAGTAATTTGGATTTTGGATTAAGGATTCTCAACTTATTTGTACACCAAGAATTTGTAGTCCTCCCTTATACACTGACTGATGCAGAGATCTCACTTTTGGGCAATAGTATGTTGTAGAGCTATACCAGTAGATTTGAACTCAATATAAAGAAATCATTTCCAGTCTCCCTGGTTCCTGACTATTCCTTGGGCCATGCAGACTTCATTTCCTTTCACTACTTTGTTATAATGCTACAGAAGTGTGAAGGCAGCTTCTCTCCTCTGAAAATTAGCACTTTCGGTTCTTCTAAAGTATGTAGGGTATAGAGCCCAGTTTCACGAAGAATTGTTTCTTTGGTTAGAACTTGGTAGATTTTTCATCTCTCTATATAGGTGATGTATTTCTGTATGAGTTAGATCTATAACACTGATCTAACTAATGATTGGGAGGGGACTAGGTAACATAAGCAAATACTGAGATTGGCCCCCACTTTTCTAACTTTCTGTGCTCCTTCCTAGATTTCTCATGCTACAGAGAGCCTTACCTAGTCATTTTACCTAGACCCTCCTGGCTTATTCTTATACCATAGCAATGGCAAAGACCTGGGATAAGTTATCCACAACACTTAGTACCATACAGTGGAGTATATTCCATCCTATCCTACAAAGGAATTATTCCCTCCTCACTTCACCTGAACTAACCTGCAAAATTACTTGCTTCCTTTTTTCACACTAGAGAGCCAAATTCCCTAACCTGGAACAACTGGCCACATTCCTAACTTGACTTGATTGTAAAAAAGAACAGAAGGAATAATAATGAATAGAGTAGAGATTTCCTGGTTATGTTTTGATCCTGTGAGCTTGAAGAAAGGAGGCTCTCAGAATATTATTGGCATCCACGTAGTTCTTTAGGGACTAAATGAAACCACTTTCTTTTGGCTCCTCTGAGTCTCCCTTGCCAATACCTCAACACATACATACATGCACACACACAGATTTCTCTTTGGGGAGGCCTGGCACCATGATCCCTCAACTCACACCCTATGAAAACTCTGTAGTTTGCCTATTGGAGTTTTTCTCCTTAGAAGTAGAACTGTACACCTTTTAGTATGGATTAAAAGTGTCTTTTCCTTTTAAAGTGGGTTTCACTAAAGTCTTTTTATTTTTATTTCTTTATTATTCTTGTCTCTTTTGTTACTTCTTGAGGTAAAGTGAGCTCTTCAAGTCTGGGAAGAACTACCAAGGAGCCAATGTTCTCAATGGGACCTGTTTCTAGGGAAAATCGGAGACCATTTGGTGTTTTCCTCATCTGGTGAAAAGCCAATATATTTCTTCTGAGCCTACATAATCAATTTTATAAACTTAAGTTGTTCTGTAATCGAAGGGCCACTATTGTGTTCTGTATGCAACATTACCCTGGTAATCCTGTACTCTGTCTCAACCTTTGTCCCTCTTTGTGAAAGACAATTGTTCCTGGAATTAGATGACCACAATTTGTCAAGATCCTGTAAAAGAGGAACTTGCTGACCACTAGCTACAAAAATTTCCATAAAGGCAACTGAATAAGCAAGGAACTCTGTTTCCAAGCCAAATAAGAGAACAAAAGGCTTCTTTACCCTTATCCCCTCCTACTCTTTATTTGTGTTTTTTTTTCCTTTATAAGCCTCCCAAAAGTCTAACCTAGTTGCACAGTTTTGCCAATTCCAATGCTAGTATGCTGCTGGATACCAGCTTAAATAAAGTGCTCTTACTTTTTGGATGTCATCTTGTTTTGGGGGTACAACAATTATTAACATGAAATTGAACTCATCTTTTATGGCCTTCCAATGGAATAGGGCAAATGTGACCTGCAAGACTCAGTGGTGAGCATCAGGGGTTGTTTTTAAGTCTCATGTCTATAAGAAGACACTTGGTTTATTACCCATTCCCCCAGAGCATGTCAGGCTCAACTCAGTGGAACAATTAGCTACTTTGTTTGGGAGCAGATTATACAGTTCATAGTCATGAATATGACTTAATTTATAAAAACCATGAGGCAGAGAAGATTTTATTCAAAATTGATATGATTGATAGTATCAAGTCTGAGAGTATAGGCAACTATACTGAAGATGACAAGACTGTACCATACACATTCTGGTTTGGTAACTGCCAGTTTTTGAAGTTATATACAAAGTTGTGTTTTTATTAATACTGTTTTCTACTGATATATTCAACTATACTATGTCTGATGATATAGTCAATTCTATTGGAGATAACAAGAGACAACACAGGAACCATGATAGAACTCCTTGTACAAGAGTCTTATATGTTTATTTCATTTCATGTGCTTATAGGAATATGTTTTGTTTTACCTTGCTTTGTTTTGTTTCTCCCTCTAATATAGAAAGGATATAAATAAATATTAAGATTCATGCATGTGTAGAATCTATAAATAGTTCATGAGAACTGATCTTATGACACATGATGAAATGAAAAGACACTTTAAAGAAAAAAAGACACTAAAATACCAGTGCTGATCCTCAAGTGACATAATGTGAAACCCAGCAATAGTATTATTCTTTGTTCAGAGTGATATTAGTCTGCTTGGGTTTATTCAAACTCAACATAATTGAAGATATGGATAACTGCATGTATGTTTAAGTGTATAGGATTGATAACCATATTTCTAAGTTTTTGTTGGCTAGTTGAACAGAACTGGTTGCAGTCTCACTGTTTGAATCCCCACTTTATATGTTCCACTTTAGTATCTTGAATAACTATTTGTAAGAAGACAATCTGTAATCATCAAGTAGTGATTTCTTACTGTTTCTTTTTTTCTTTGAAGTTATGTATTATTTCTACATGTTTTCTGTTTTGTTTTGTCTTTCTTTAAATTAAATTTAAAAAAAAAGACACTAGGTACCCAGTGCTGATCACAGAATGTCATGATATGAAATCTAGCAATACTATTATTCTTTGTTCAGAACGATTTTAGACGGCTTTAGTTTGTTTAATCTAAAAATAAATGAAGAAATGGATAACTGCATGTATGTTTAAGTGTATAGGATTAACAACCCTGTTACTAAGTTTTTGTTGGACAGTTGAACAGAACTCTTTGCAGTCTCTCACCTGTGAACTGAATTCTGATTCACTGGGACAAGCCACTAATTAGAGAGCTAAAGGCCCCTGATCAGTGGATTACAAAAGAAAACAAATCCTATTGTACTGGGGGGTGGCTTAGAAAAAATTGAATTGCAAGCCTTCACCAAATAGCCTGAACTCATCCAGGCATTCGCAAATATGCGAGCCAAATTTGAGACCTTGGCCTTTAGGTTCTCGTTTTTTTTTTTTTTTTTTTTTTTTTTTCCTGGAACAGTTTACTCTTACCTCACTGGATTTAATTAGCCGTGTCTACATCTTCTGGTCCAGAGGAAGAACTAGTACCCAAAAAGGATCTTTCAACTTGAGCAGACTGGGCAGTGATTCAAGTCCAAATATAACATTGTGCCTCTGTGTAATGATAGTGATGATAATGCAATAATACTGCAAAATGACACTGTCTCTACATTTCCAATGTGCTTACTCCTAACATGGTGTGACTATATCCAAAATTATCTTGGTTCCAATTTTCTGAAGTTCAATGATTAGAATTGGCAAATTGAATAGGGTAAGGAAATTTTCTTTTGCTTTAGTTTTTAAGGTATTTTGGATGAATATGAAATAAAAAAATAAAGCTGTTTTTCTATATAATTACTATTTGATCACAGTCAATGTCATATTTGAGTGTTTACTCAAGGAACATTATTCTAAAGATTTTTTCTTCATTGCTTTTAGAGTGGTACTATCTTTGAGAACTATGTTTTTATTCATCTTTTCCTCTTGCCAGTTATTGAATAGAGAAATCACAGAATGCACTTGATAAAAACATGTGCAACACACCCTGAACATAGACAATAGTTGAGTTGTCCATAATTAAATTACTGAAAGAAAATTCTTTTTGTTTCAGGTGACAGGTTGCTGAGAATGAATTAATATTTTTGTTTCCTTTATTATTTTCCTTT